CTCTCTTCTGTGCCCGTATCCACTCTCTCTTTACTTCACTCTCTCTATATTCACTCTCTCTTTCTCTGCTCTCTCTCTTTCCCCCTCTTCCTTCGGAGCTCCTCTTTCCACACTTCCTCTCCTTCTTCATCTCTCCTTATCCTGCTGCTCTCACGTATTTTCTCCTCTCTCTCTCTCTCTCCTCTCTCCTCTCCTACGCTTCTCTTTGTCTCATCTCTCTAGCCTCTTTCTCTCCTCTCTCTCTCTCTCTCTCTCTCTCAAACACACACACACACACACACGCACACACACACACACACACTCACACACACACACACACACACACACACACACACACACACACACACACACACACACACACACACACACACATATATATATATATATATATATATATATATATATATATATATATATATATATATATATATATATTTATATATATATATATATATATATATAAATATATATATATATATATATATATATATATATATATATATATATATATATATATATATATATATATATATATATATATATATATATCGTTAATGTTTCGTGTTCCTATTAATTCCACTCACATCTATTATGAATGTTAATAAAATATAATCTATTTCGCCCCCAGTTTTACCAGTCGTAACGAGTAAATTCTATCCTTGCGTTTTTCTTTGTTTCATTTCTTTCATCTTTTGTAATTCAGAGAAATCCTTGTGCATTGTTATTAACGTTTCCTTTATCTACTCCTTCTCCTTCATATGAACTACAAAGGGGAAAAAACACTATACAAATAATAGGCAAGCTTTAAGAAAAAAAAAATCGGGGTGCATCTGAGGAGCGCCACCTGCCGGAATGGCCTTTGAAACCCAAGCCTCATGACCCAGGCGAGGTCAAGCCGTTCTTCAGGGCTGTCAGAAAGAGCTCCCCCTTCGCCTTGTTAGGGTGACTTCCTTACGGACGCGACCCCAGGCAGGTCAGGTCGACGACAGAATTGCCAAAGTTCCTGCTAAAGATTTATTTTTATTTTTATCTATTTGTAATCTAGATGTGGTGTAATTTCTTCTCCGATACTATAATCGTACTTATGAATTTGAGGTTCATAAAATATCTATCTATCTCTTCATCTATCTATCTGTTTATCTGTTTACCTATCTATCTGTTTATCTGTCTACCTATTTATCTGTTTATGTATCTACATATCTATCTGTTTATTTATCTACCTACCTATCTGTTTATCTTTCTACCTATCTATCTGTTTATCTATCTACCTATCTATCTATCCATTTATCTATCTACCTGTCTATCTATCTATCTATCCATTTACCTATCTATCTATCTATCTATCCATTTACTTGTCTATCTATCCATTTATCTATCTATCCGGCCTCTCAGCCTGACCGGTACCCCTTCCTCTCTCTCCCCCTCCCCCCCTTCCCCCTTCAGCAATGGAATGACCTACGGATGATGAAAACACTCTACCATGTTGATACTATGGTAGAAACACCCACAATGTAAAAAATGACCTATGTTGACCTATTCCCGACGACCTAACACGTCCTTATGGATTCCCTTGACCTCGCCTAAAAACTCCAATTTTTTTGGCGATTCCCATCCAATTCTTACTTTTTTTCCCTTCCACCCTTCCGTGTAAATATTATTTCTCAATATTCCTTTTTTTCCCTTCCTCTTCCTCTCTCTCTCTCCTCTTCTCTCTTCTCTCTTCTCTCTCTCTCTCTATCTCTCTCTCTCTCTATCTCTCTCTCTCTCTTCTCTCTTCTCTCTTCTCTCTTCTCTCTTCTCTCTTCTCTCTTCTCTCTTCTCTCTTCTCTCTTCTCTCTTCTCTCTTCTCTCTTCTCTCTTCTCTCTTCTCTCTTCTCTCTTCTCTCTTCTCTCTTCTCTCTTCTCTCTTCTCTCTTCTCTCTTCTCTCTTCTCTCTTCTCTCTTCTCTCTTCTCTCTTCTCTCTTCTCTCTTCTCTCTTCTCTCTTCTCTCTTCTCTCTTCTCTCTCTCTCTTCTTCTCTCTCTCTCTTCTTCTCTCTCCTCTCTCTCTCTCTCCTCTTCTCTCTCTCTCTTCTTCTCTCTCCTCTCTCTCTCTCTCCTCTCTCTCTCTCTTCTCTCTCTCTCTCCTCTTCTCTCTTCTCTCTTCTCTCTTCTCTCTCTCTCCCTCCTCTTCTTCCCTTTTTCCTTCCTCTTCCTCTTCTCATTGTCCTTCACTTTATGGCGTGAGATAATTCCTTAATGGCGCGGAGATGTGATGATAATGAGGCAATAATTAAGCAAAGGAATTCACATTTTATCAAATTCTCTTTTAATACGTTTATTACGATTTCTTTTGTTTTCGTCTTTGCTGTCTCTCTGGTTGGCTGTCTTTTTCTCTCTTTTCATTCGCTCTTTCACTCTCTTGTCTCTCTCTCACACTCTCTTTCTCTCTTGCTTTCGCTCTCTCTCTCTCTCTCTCTCTCTCTCTCTCTCTCTCTCTCTCTCTCTCTCTCTCTCTCTCT